AAAAAAAAAAAAAAAAAAAAAAAAAAAAAAAAAAAACATATATATTTCTATAATAAAATATAAAAACATTTACAAATAAAAATAAAGTGAAAAATAAAAAAAAATCCTCTAATGAATAAACTGTAATTAGTAAATAAATATTATTTAAAGGATCTATGTATAAATAAAAATATGGTATTAATATTAGTAATGATTATAAACAAAAAGTATTAAAATGAAAATAACTGTTACTCAAATATATATTTTTTAGATTAAGGTATTGCTATAGAGGTAATATAGTTTATAAAATTAAACTCTTGAGTAACAAAGAGTAATATTGACTTTTTTGAATTGTTAAAATTGTGTATAATTTTTATAAAAAGTTTAATTATGTATGATACATTTGAAAGAATACATAAAAAATAAAATTAATTTTCGAGCCAAATTTTTTTACGTTAGGGAATTCTTTATTATTGATAGTTACTTTTTTTTGGAGAAAAACCAAAAAAAAAATAATGATGATGCTTCTGATAAATTTACAATTTTATGAATCTTAAAGCATTAAATACTATTCAATGAGAATATTTTATTTTGTATTTTTTATTTTTATATTGAAGTACAGAGATTTTTATTTAATTATATAAGTATTTTCCTTGATTATTATAAAAAAAAAAAAGATTTACAGAATATTCAGTCAATACATATTTTATTATTAGATTTTAAAAGTTATATGAGACAAGGAAATTATTTCATATGAAGTATATTAATTACTTTGGATATTATTTTTTCTAAATAGAGATTATTTTATAACTAATAAAGTAGAGAATACTTCACACTACCTATATTAACTTGTTTCTTCAGTATTTACCAATAATAATTGAAAAGACATTTAATAAATCATTTTTTTAATACATTTTTGTAAGGTGAAAAAAAAAAGTTTAAGAAAGAAATAAAATATGACATATATAAAATATATGAATAGAATGGATTTACATATTTTTCCATAATTACTATTTCATCTTATATATATCATAAATAACTATTAAAATAGGGTAAATTAACGTTAATATATATAAAAAAAATAAACTATTAAAGGGTAAAAAAAATATAAAAATAAAATTTTAAATTATAAACTTTGAAGTTACATAAATATTCGATAATATATTTCTTATAAATATATATTTTCTTATTGGAAAAATTTTAACAAAAAAAAAAAAAAAAATTAAAGTAATATGAAATTATCATAATGCACTTAAATAGTATTTAAGAATAAAATAAATAAAATAAGATGAAATAAAGGCTTAAAATTAATGCACAAATTAATATAAACAGATGTATTAAATTTCTATAATTTATAATTACATAGAAATTTACTAATACACCGTAGCAAATAAATATTCTATAGATATGTCTCTGTAGCATTCATAAATATGATTTAACACAAACATAAAAAATTATATTTTTGAATATAATAAATGAATGTTTTTTTAAAAAAAAACTATAAAAAACATTATTTTTATATTCATATTTATAATTATTTACAATAATAATTAAAGGTGAACTTCCTAGAGCATTGATTCCTTAATAATATAATAGTATTTGTGTCATAAATATAAAATCAATTAAAGGTATTAATCAACAAATTATAAATAAATCCTATAAAATATTTTACGCTTATAAAAGAAAAAATGAAATATAATTTTATGTAGAATTTTAAATATTTCAGATTTTTATAAAAATTTTCTTAAATTCTATGCTTTTCTTTTTTTTTATATGAGAATTTACAACATCTGCTTTACTAACACTCTTTTTTTCCCCTTTTTATAAGTGCAATAATACATATATTAGTAAAAAAATCTAAAACTTATCTCGTAGATTTTTTTCTTCATTATATTTTATTTCATAATGCATATATTAATCTTATTAATGTCCTGTCATTTTTATATCAATATTTATATTTATTATTGACTCTTAAAAATTTTTAAAAGTTGATTAATATAAATTCCCAATTGTGACATATAGGTTCAATATTTATAATCTAAAGTTTCTACTTTTCTTAATAAAAATAAAGTAATCTCATTATAACACTATGATATTAGTTTTACTAAATTTGGTATATACAATTTATTTATATTTAAGCTATATTTTTCTTTTTTTTTATTGCACATCTCTAATAGTATTCCAAAGAAAAAGACCATTTATTGACATCTGCACAGAGGACATTTATCCAAAAATTTATTTATTTTGCAATGAGGACTATCAAAAACCTCATGGAATATATTATTAATTTCATATCTAAATTTTCAATAATATATCTTTTTTATCCTAGAAATTCTTCTTTTTTCATGTTCAAAATATTTCATAAAATCCTCCAATAAACAAGTAAATTTACTTTATGCATGGTTCATATCTTTACAGAAAAGTTTTTTCTTTTTTTTAATTATGCTTAACAATCTCATAACTATAATTTTGCTATGTTGTTCGTTATAATTTTAAATATATCTTATCTCTTATATTTACACAAATACCTTTTTTTTTCCTCCTAATCTTAATTTTTCAAGGCATTATCTAGAAAAGAATTCCATTTCGTCCACATACTTTTCATGTCTTCATCCCAAAGGGATATTATTTTTTCATAATGATATTTAACATTCGTATAGTTACATCCATTCTGCATCATGCATACGAAATCCAAACGACTCCTTTTACCTTCTCTTATTAAATATTTATGAAAATAATTATGCCATTCTTCCCACTTGACTTTTTTCCATTTAGAACTCTTATTTTTAGATTTACCTCCTGATTGCCATTGTTGATGCATTTTTTCAATCATATTATTATAATCAAATTTAATTTTAGACCAATAATTCATATGTTCTTTAAGACAATCCTTCTCAATACCTTTTTCTGCTGGTGTTTTATTATGAATGCGGCGTAATTCATTACTAGTGAACTTTGTCATAAGCCGTATTGAACATTTTGAAAGTTCTTCCTTCCTACTATTTAGAAAATTATGAACTAAATGTAATATTGACTTTATTCCTTTTATCATCTCTTGCCTTTCTACATTGATGGAATTATAAAATATATGTAAAATGTGATGCAATAAATCATAGGTTAAATCAACGAATTTTGTGGGAATAACAAAGCTATCACTGTTTGAATGAGTTCTTACGAGATGGCTATTACTCTCTAGAGGAACATTAGGAATGTTATGATAATTTTCAGGTTCTGATGTTAAACATGGAATTAATAAGTTAACAATTAATAAGTAACTAAAAAAAAATAGCACTTTAAATTTTTTCATTATAAGAAAAAAAGTAAACATTAACAACATAATAATTTTCTTTAAACTGGAATTAAATATGAAAAAATTTAAACTATAAACTAAAAATGGAAAGAAATTTTTTTTTATGAATAAAACATTCTAAAAAAAAATAATTTTTAGGTTTTAGAATTAGAAAAGAATTCATTTTATACGTTGAAACTTTTATTATGCATGCATAAACGATGGTTAAGGTAATATTAGGAAATTCTTATAATTAAAAATCTTTAAAAAACTTTAATTTTATATTTTTAGAGTATAAAAATTTTCATTTATTAGATTTAATGTTCTTGATAGTCCATTCACTTTATTTTTATAAAGAAATTTTTTAGATTGTAAAAAAAAATTTTCCTTTCTATTTCTCCTGAATTGTTCATTAATTGTGGTATTTACTAAAAATTATTTGTAGTTTGAATTTTATTAATTCCATCATAATTGTTTTATTATTGTAGAATTCATTAATATTTCTTAACTATACATAAGTAAAAAGATAAATGTATAAAAATAGTTAATTATATATATTTTTTTTTTTTTTATATATTAAAAAAATTCTACTAAACAACTAGATTCTCATTTATATTTGAAAGATTTACTCTGTTTTTTCGTTTTAGAAAAACAAATTACATTTATTAAATTTCATTAAATAAAATGAACTTCAAATATAAAAAAGTCAAATTAGTCATTATATTTAGGTAATACATTAAAAGGAAAATTTAATACTTTTTAAAATCATTGCGAATAATAAATTATAATATAAAAAGATTAAATGTAAATGTATAAATTAAAATATATAAATTGTAAAAAATAAAAAATAAAAATTAAAAAAATTGCATTCACTTTAACTTTTTTATTATGTACATTTTTAGAAAAAATATTAATACAAGAAAAGCAAAAGGTTATTAAATATGTTCGTAATACTTGCATAAAACGAATAAATAATACTTTGAAGTTTACTTTTCTTCCTTATAATAAAATCTAGTAAATTAAAACCTTTTTTTCAAAAAAAAAAAAAAAAAATAATTTTTTTTATGAAGTTAATAAAAAATTTATAATAAAAAAATAGGGTAATAATTTCAATTATATTAGACATATTATATCACAATTTTATTCTTTATAACAAAATTATATTTTATGACAAAAAAATTTTTATTATGAAGGTTTTTTTATAAGAAATAACTTGCATTTTAGTAATGTTATATGTATGATGAAAATTGAAAAAAAAAAGAAGAAATTATCATATGATTTGTATGATTCAATAACAATAAATTACTAATATTTTACAATTTCATAAATATAAAATAAAAACAAACCTTTTTTTAATATAAATATATTCACATATTCCTTTTAATATATTTTTATATATAATTAAAATTTGCACTCAATTTAAATACAAAATTAATAGATAATTTTGTATTTGAAATGAAAAAGGTTCCAAATAACAATTGTTTTCATTAATAACAAACTTTTTTTTCAATATTTTTTTTATCAGATAATTGGTGATCCCATTATATTTTTTTAAATTAAAAACTATTTATTTTCAAAAAAATATAAAAATTATAGTGTTAATCCATTAAATAGAAATAAATCATCATAATATTTAAAAAAAATTGTTTGTTAAGAAGAAATAATTATATTTAAGTATATAAAATGTTTTAATAAAAAATAAGGTGAGAAAGAAACGCAGTAACTTCTTTGATATTTTTATTGCTTTTTACGTAATTTAATTATTTAATATTATAATGGATATCTTAAATTATCAAAATAGAAAAATAGTAAAATTAAAAAAAAAAGATGAACATTAATGATAAAAAAAATTAAAATAAAGACAACTTAAAGTAACAATTTGTATATAAAAATATTTATTAAAAACACTTTAACATATTTACTTAAAAATATAACAGAAAAATAAGATAATCAAAAATTTATAGGTGATCAATTAAAATATTTTAATCACAAAATTTTCTTATTTATTATTAGTAATACAAGATGAAAAAATTTTATTAAGATATATATGTATGTATTAAAAATGTATGTTATAAATTAAACAAATTTAATTTTTTTTATAAAAAATTTATTCATACTTTTATTAGGAAGTAATATTCAAAATTTTAGACATATATAAGTAGTACAGCTGCTTTTAATTTTGATTAAAATGTCAATAATTTTTTGTGTTAATTATTCTATATATAAATGTACAAAAAATTTATGGTTCAAAATTATTTTTTAAATAAATATAATTTTAAATATTTTCAATGTTTTTTTTCACCTTAATTATAAATTTTAATTATTAAACGATATTAAGTTATTTACAACAATTTTTTTAAATTAATAGATTTCATTTGTTAAACACCTAAAGATGTATTAAAAAATATTTTTAAAAAATTAAAAAAAAAAATAATTTTAAAATAAAACATATTTAACAATGAGTATTTAACAGGATTCTATTATTTTAATATATATATATTAGTAATTATGTATTTTATATTTTTAAATGGATTAATTTTTTCTTTTAAATTATTATTATGTATATGAATAATAAATTTATAATTTTTGGGAGAATTTAGTGAATCTTTTTATATCATTCATTTGATATTTTAATATTTTTAATAATTTTACCTTTTATTATTTTTACATTTATGTATATTCTTTTTTTTTTAATTTCTTGTAAGATTTAGTTATGAAAATTTATTACATAAAAATATTTATTTACAATATGTATATTATTTGAATAAAAATAATTTTATGAAGTTATATTCTTGCAAATGCATTTTAATTATATATTTTTTATTGTTGATGCTAATAATATATTATAATTATTTTTTGTTTTTTATGTAGATAAATTTTATTTATTTTAAATAATATATATTTATAAATAAATATTTATATGAATATTTTTTTCGCTTTTTTTCGTCAATATAGTTTAGATATTTTGTCACAAAAAGAAGGCATATTACTATTAATATTTTATATGTATTATAAATATTTATTATTGAAAAAATATATATATTAAATTATGTTTTAAAAAGTTAATTAGAATCTGATTGAAATAAAATTTGAATTTATTTAATAAGTTACTTTTGATTAATATTTATATATTATAAATCAATACATTAGTTCAGTGGAGTCCTTAACGTTTACAGAAATCAGGCAATACCTAATTTTTGTTTCTTATATATGTTTACAATAAAACATTTATAATTTATGTTTAGTTTCTGATTATGTAATAAAATAATAAAAAAAGAAAGTATTTTTAAGTATTATATAAATTTGCAAATATGTGAAAAGATGAAAATTTTGTATTAGTATAAAGAGTTATAAATTGCTTTCGTAAAAATCTGTTAATAGGAGATATAAAAAACGTTCAATATTGTTATATGTATTTGTTGTTAAAATTTCATATAGAAATAATTATAGAATAAAAATTTTTTTTTATTTATTTTAAGTTGTAAAATTTATAATAAGAAAGAGTTCTTTTTAAACCATTTTTTTTAATTAATTAAAAGAAAAGGACTTAATTGAGGAAACCTATGGTAAAATATTATAAAAAAAAAATTCATTAAAATATGTACATATTAAATTATTATTTTATATATGTATTCATTAATTGTATAAGAAACATTTTATACTACTGTGTGTATTTTATTATCCCATAAAATATATATTGTTTAGAGTATAATAGTTTCATATTTTTTAAATTTTTAAATTTAAAATTTCAAAAATATCTAATTTTTTAATATATTTATTACTCTAATTTTTCAATTTTAATAAAAATATTTAAAGTTGGTGATAATAAAATGGATTTTTCATTTTCTAAAATAAATATTATGAAATATACAGTGGTCTATTGTAACATATATGATATCAATGTCTTTATTTAGCTAAGGAAAATAAATAAAGAAATATTAGAATATATTATTAATGTAGTTAAATGTAGTGAAAGGAAAATTTTACGTTATTATAATAATGGTTTATATAGTATTATTAGATATTTTCTGAAAATACATGAAATTATTAAAAAAAACGTAGATAGAGTGTATATGAAAGAGGGTTTTAATTCAGATGATAGAATTAATAAATGAATAGGTAACATCTAACTAAGCCTATAATATATATATGATATTCTCATTTTAAAGAAACAAAAAAAAATTATAAAATAATTATTTTTCCTTTAGCAATACTTATTTTTGAAATGAATTGAAAGATTATTGAATAAATAAAAATACTATTATTCCTTTATATTTAAAGTATATAAAAATTATTTGAATTTCCTTATATGAAAAATAATTATTTTTTATATATTATTTATATTTATTTTTTTTAAGGATAAATTTTTTTATCACTTCAAATTTTTTCAATGTGGCATGTAAATTTAATACAATCATTCTCTTATTTTGCTTTTGTAGGACAGCTGCAAAAAAAAAAATAAATAAAAATTATAATAAATATATAACCTACTTATAATTTAATTCAATATAAAAAAACATCATTGAATAGACTTTTGCAATTTAAAATATTATTATAATATTTGAGTTATATATATAATTAAAAATACAATTATATTTATTCTAATTTTTATTTATATGTAAAAATAAAAATACCGAATACAATATCATTAAAACAACCAATACAGTATTATGGGTATTTTTATAATATGTGAAAGTTTTACATTTTTTTGTGTGTTATAAGTACATATTTTAAAATCATTTTTAAAAGGACAAAAAAGATTAAAATAATCCTATATAATTATTACTGAGTATAATTTAAAATTATATATTCTATAATAACTTCTTTTCATAAAGTTGTAGATTTCTATTTTATATACATTTATTCTTTTTTTTAAAGAAGATGGATTCTTTACATAAAAAAAAAGTTTACTTATTTTTATATATATTGAAATAATTTGAAGATAATATTTATAGGTCTTTATATACAATATAAATCTTTTTATATTTATTTAGTTTTTTTCTATAATATTTTTGATTAAAAGTTACAAAAAATTTTATAATGTGAAT